TCATTGTAAGAACAACTCGAAACATGAAGAGCTTGAAGAATCCTTATCGAGGATTTTATCACATGTTTACCCTTTAGCTGGTCGATTTGCTGAAGATGATGAATCATTAATTCTTTGTCTTGATCAAGGTGTTACTTATATCAAAGCAAAGGTCAATTGTACCCTTGATGATTTACTTCAACAAACAAAAAAAGACCTTGATCTAGCCTTGTCATTTTGGCCTCAAGGTACGATGGATGTTGATGACTCTAATTTGTTCGTCACGCCACTTATGGTTGTGCAAGTCACGACATTTGAATGTGGTGGTCTAGCCCTAGCTATTAGCATTGCACATCCTGTTATGGACGGATGCACCACATTCAAAATCCTTTATGAATGGACCAAAGTGTGCAAATTTGGTACTCCTTCTAAGGAAATCAGCTTCATGAATTTCAATGTAGGTGCTCTTTTCCCTTACAAGCACGATTTATCAACCCTCCTTGAGCCTCCGGTTGATGAAGGCAAACGCAAAGACTCTAAGTTAATTGCGAGGAAGTTTGTTTTTGAGAAAGATGCAATATCGAGGCTCAGAGAGAAATTTGATTCCATAAGTGAAAGTTTAGGTTTTAAACCTTCTCGAGTTGAGATGATTACAGCACTTTTATGGAGGTCACTTATCCGTTCCACGAAAAGTGCAAAATTGAAACGTTCTGTAATGTCATTTCCACTTAACTTGCGCGGTAAGGTAGCAGATTTTCCTGAAATTACAGACTCCTTTGGGAATCTTATTATTGAAGTTCCTATAAAATTTGAGCACGATGATGAAACGAAAATAGAGTCGCTGCATCAGATCGTAAAACTCATAAAAGAGTCTGTTAAAGTGATTAACAATAAATGCGTCAAAGCTACTCCAGATGAAATAATTTCTTTGGTTATCGACTTATACAAGGATAGTTACTCTGGATTAGAATGGGGAGGAGACGATGAAGTTATGAATTTTACGAGCTCAAGTTTATCTAGGTTCCCCATACAAAAAACAGATTTTGGTTGGGGAAAACCTAGTTTAATGCATTTTGGGTCAAGACATAATCAAGTTTTGTGGTTATATGATACTGAATGTGAGACTGGAATTGTTGTGCAAATGGATTTGGAGAAAAAACACATGGATAAACTTGTGTGTGACCAAGATATCATCGATTTTGCAAAATTTTAGGGGTTTAATTTCAACCTGTTTTCATTTAAATTTTACTCCATTTGTTTTAATTTACCTACCTACCATGTGTTGTCCTTTTGGTTTGTTCTTTTTATATATATGAATGTGACTCTACCAGTAGTTTTTTAAAGACTTACTAAATGAAATAAATAATGTAATATGTCAATAATTAAGTGTTGGAAATGAGCTCAAAAAGAATTGGCTATTATGATTATCTTTGGCAATTTGAAGTTTAATTTTTTTTTTAGTCATGTATAAATATGTATATATAATGTTTGAAATGAGGTAAAAGGTTTTAGTTTTTTTTCTTTAATTATTATTTTTGTGGTTTATAGTGTTAGAGGTCTTGTTCAGTAGCTTTAATTTTGCATGTACTGCACTGCTTTATTGCTATCCCTACTCGCTCAGCAAATCAACATGTATGGATGACATAAAAAAGGAACTTACAAAAATGTACTACATTATAATATTATGAATTTTATTAGATTTTGATGCGTTAAGAAAATATGTATTAAGAATAAATAAAGCTTATTTTGCTCGATCTAGGCGTCGCATATATGTTTTTCAAAAGATTATTATATATGACATGTTTAATATTATAAAATTATAATGTATTTTTAAAACATAATATATATTTTTAGTTTAACATCACAATATTTTAGAAATCGTATTTACTTTCTTAAATCAATATTCTATGTAATTAAGACATTAAAAATTAAATTAAAAAGAGTAACCTAGTAATAATTTGATTTGCTTGACAATATTCCTTTTGTAATGGATATATAAGTTTGTGCCTACACACACTCAATAAACGCAAATGGAAGGAGAACTAAATTTTTTTAAAAAAAGTATTTTAAATTACTAATTATTCTAATATATGATTTTTTTACATATTCTTTTTAATCTTAAAATATGTGGTACTGATAAATTTTTGAGAGTACTCACAATTATTGAATTTCACATGCAGTTTGTGTGGCTGTGTGCAGAAAGCTCTATATGTCTCCATCTTTTTTGTTTCTTTTTCTTTATAATTAAAAATGTTGTTTGGTAGGTGGAATAAGACATGATATTTTTGAGTTATTATTGAGATAAAATTCATTTCATACTTTGAGATAAATTCCTCTTCAATTAATAGGGAGCACACTTAAGGCTTGTACAAATTACAACATTTGTACTTTTAAATAGTGATAATCTCCATTTTATTTTCTTTATGTGTTATTTGATTATATATATTTAATTTTTTTATTATTATTTGAAGTGTGAGGTGTTGGTGCTTGAAAATGTTAACTACTCTTATTTAAATTTCTCTCCGTTTAAAAAAGGATGGTCTAATTTAATTTGAAATGAGGTTTAAGAAAAGAAAGAATATTTTTTAATCTTATGGTTCTAATTTAAAATTATATCAAATGTATCAAAATGCTCTTTAATCTTGTGGTCTTAAACATGTCACGTGAAAAATTAAAGTGAAAGTGTTGCCAAAAAAGAAAAAGGGTCATTCTTTTTTAAAAAAATTGAAAAGGAAATAGAGACATTCTTTTTTAAACGGAGGGAGTAAAATGATTGCTTGGTAAAAAATAAAATAAATGGTTGATGATTCTAAGTGATCGTTTGGTAGGGCGTATTATGAGAAATTGTCCATATATTATATATGGTACTATTTGGTAAGAATTTAAGCCTATGCGTAATTAATTCATGGATTAGTTATACACCCTATATAGTATTAGAAGATGTATTAGTAATACCTTCTTTTTAGAGGTATTAGTAATATATATGATTTAATACCACGAGATAAGTCTATGTAAAGACAAAAATATTTCTCAAATCATTTTAATCATTTTTTTTATTTTATATTTGTAATAAATCCTTTTAAATAAATTAGCTAACAAATTATCTAGAGAGAGTTGTTTGTAGTAAATAATTTCAATAGAAATCAATATAATATTTGAAATGTGAGTTATTCAACATTTACTAATTAAAAACAAATGTTTTTGTGTGTATAATTTTCTAATTATTTGTAATTTGAACAATTTATAAAAATGCATAAAATTATAACTTGCAATTTTTATGTGTAAATATAGATAGTTTACTCAAATATATTATTGTTTATCGTCTGTTCGATTTTAGAAGTAAATGATTCTTCTTTTATAAATTGAAAAGTAACATTTTGTAATTCAAGTGAGAAAATAATAAATATGACAATAACATTGTTCTTCTCCTAGCTAGTTAGAAGATCATGAAAATAATATTATCGGAGTATTATCTATCTTGAGCGAATTACGTAATAATTATTTATTAAAGGATATTATTAGAAAGAAGCTTTTTAAAGGATTTTATTCAAACACAAAATAAAAAATAATAAACTACACTTGATAAATATACAGCTAGAAATCCTTTTTTTTAACTATTTTTTTAAATATTGCTTTCTAGAGATATTGTAGGATTTGAAAATGACTGATCACAAAATTTTCTACTTTTTTGTCTATGAAAATCATGTCTTTTTTCGACCAAGTTAAAAGAAAAAAGAAATTGGCCATTTCTTTTGTTTATTATATGATAATGTTAGTGGACCAAGCTGGAAATGTGACACAAAATTGATATAAAGAATTGAAGTCGAAAATTTCGTTTCGACGTGCCATTTAAAAAAATTTAAATTGTATTTTTTTAATTATAAATCTATAAATTGTGAAAATTATTTAAATTTTATCAATTTTTTTAATAATTTTATAAAGTAAACGAAAAAAAAAGCATCGTAAAAATATGTACAATCATTAAGTTAATTTTTAAATTTACAATTTTTGTTGATCGAACTTTAAATTGGTAAAAATATAATTAAATACTAGTAATATTAATACATAGAAACCTCGTAATTTGATTTCAAGTATGCATAAAAAAACAAATGTAACATACATAATTATTTAATTAACTTAATTTTTGTTGAACTAATTAATGATATAATTTACATCTGCACAAATATCTAAATTACTTTTAGTTTAACATTACAAAGTTTTAGAAATTGTGTTTGTACAAGTATTTCTTCAACCTATGTCTGAAATCTCGGAGACACATTTATACTATATTAAAGTTTTACTATTCCGTGAACTTGTTTTATTAATAATATTCTACCCTTTTTTGACCTATGTGACACTTTCTGGTGGGCTCAACGTTGGTTGATTTTTTTTCAAGTCAGTGTCACGTAGGCCAAAAAGAGTTAGAAAATTACTTATAAAATAAGTTTAGGAGATAATAGGACCTTAGTATAATATAATTGTCTCTGTAATTTTGGCATAGATTAAATGAGTTCTTGTGCAATTTTCCCTATTAATACCTTGTTGAAACTAAGATACACATACTGAAAACAACGGAGAAACTTAGTACTAATTCGATATGCTTCATATTATTGTTTTCGTATTAGACATTTAAGTTCGTGTCATCATAGACTCAATAGCATAAATAAAATTTGGAAATACTATGATTTTTTTCATTAATATTTTAAATTATTACATATTTATTATTAATTTATGATATTTTTACAATATTTTTCTCTATCCTAATTTATGTGATACCAATTCATTTTTTAGCCTATCGATCACAATTACCGAATTCACATGCACGCTTCATGTGTGCGAAAAGCTCTAATTTTGGGGATATTTTCTTCTTGTGGTGCAGGCTGCACCGTACTATAATAAGCTCTATTTTAATCTTTTATTTTATTTATTTTAAAAAAGTTATATGTGTTATGCGATAAGAATTCAAATGTTATATTTTTGAATTATGCGAAATAAATTTATCTTATAAATTAGGATATTTTATAATTTTCAAGGTTAAACGAGTTTTGGAATAGGTAAATCTCTTATTTTGTTGATTTTTGTGTGGTATAGTGAACCATTTTTTTTTGTGATTCAAAATTTCGATGTTATTTTAGTCAAAAATTTTCATGGACATCTGTTAAGACGTTAACTATGGATCCAGGTGTCCCTGACAGTCAAAACGATCCATTTGCAAGGTCAAATGAGCTCCAAAGCAGGTAAATCCTCATTTTGTCAATTTTCGTGTACTATAGTTTATCATCATTTTCGCTGATCTAGAATTCTGACGTTATTTTTTCCAAAATTTTTCGTGGACGTCTGTTAAGACTTAAGATATGGAGCTAGTTGGCCCAGAACGACCAAAAGGGTCCATTTTCAAGGTCAAACAAGCCTTGGAGCAGGAAATCTCCCATTTTGTCGATTTTTGTGGACTATAGTTCACCATCTTTTTTGGTAATTTGGAATTTGAACATTATTTTTGTCAAATTTTTTTGTGGACGTTCATTATGACGTTAACTATGAAGCCAATTGGCCCTGAAGGCCAAAACAGTATATTTTCAAGGTCAAACGAGCCCTGGAGCAGGTAAATCCCCATTTTGTCAATTTTTGTTTGTTATTGTTTACTATCTTTTTTGGTGATCCGGGATTACGATTATTTTACCAAATTTTTTTATGGATGTCCATTAAGACGTTAGCTGTGGAGCAGTTCGCCCTGACGACCAAAATAGTCCATTTAAAAGGTCAAATTAAAGGAGCCCCGGAGCAGGTAAACCCTCTCCCTCATTATGTCGATTTTCGTGTTGGTTCCCTCTGTAGGAAATTGGTGGAGCAATACATATAGTCTCACTATTTTTAGAGTGATATGACGGAGAAATAACTCCTAATAGCCCAAAATATGAAGCTTCACGTATTGTTCTCGCAACTCCATATAGAGGATCTTGTAATCAATTTTCAATAGTAAAAGTCCATCAGTCACATCACCAAAATATTTATGAGCTAACTGTGCCAACAAACCCAATAGCATAGACGGAATTCGGAAAGACAATTAAATTTATAAAATATATATGTCATTAAACATTATAATTTATAAAACTTTTCGCATCATTTTTCTTTATCTCAATTTACGTGGTACCAAAAATTTCCGAAAGTATTTATAACTATTGAATTTCCAGATTCAGGCATTGTGTTGCTGTATGTGGAAAGCTCTAATTTATGTTGGGATATTTTCTTCCTGTGGTGCTCGCTGCAGCGTACAATGAATGATGAGCTATATTTGCATCCATCTTTTTTTTTTTTAATTCTATTTTTTGTTTATTTGAAGTGATCGTTTGATCGGTAAGATAAGATATGATATATTTTAATTATATTTAAAATAAAATTTATATCATAAATTTAGATATTTTATGAGATAATTAATTATATTACTATGTTAAAAAATAATATATTTTATCAATTATAAAATATATAATTTCAGAACTAATTAATAGTCATAATTATTATTCTATATTTTATCTTAATATAGTTTTTTTTAAAGAAACCCTTAAGCTTTTCCTCTTACAATTATTAGGGAGCATGTTTAAAAGGCTTGTAAAACATTGTCGCAGTTGGTTGGTAGAGTCGGTGAGGAGACACTAAGCAAATGGAGAAAGCAATATAAATGTGGGAAAAATACTTTTTTCGTTTCATTTTATTTGATATATTTTTTTAAAAAAAAGAAGGAAGATTCTGAAAATTTGTTATCTAAAATAATTCTTGGAGATTATATAGCTGCATGTCATTTCATTAACGATAAAAGGAGATTTTTAAATTATATTATTTTTATTATAATAAAAGAAATTGTAATAAAGTAAAGAGAAAAAAGTGCCACATAAAATAAAATAAAATATTCGATGATCTTGATCTTAAATTGCACTTGAATTCAAGGGCTTTTGAGCTTGTTCCTAAATTTGGTGACCTTGATCTTAAATTGTTACTTAAACTTGTAGCTTGTACAGAAATTTATGGCATTGATCCACGAGTTCTCTCTGGCTTTTTATTAGAATTCTTAATTATGAGAACCCTATTTATAATTATTGAATGTAGGAGTAATGATAAAGATAGGCTTCCTTCGCTCAAACAAATTTAAGTGAATGGTGGAGAAGTAGTGATCATGAAGAAAGATTTTATTATCGAATTAAAGAGACATGTCAATATTTGACTGGCGAAACACATTTAAGTGAATGGTGGAGAAGTAGTGATCATGAAGAAAGATTTTATTATCGAATTAAAGAGACATGTCAATATTTGATTGGCGAAACACATTTAAGTGAATGGTGGAGAAGTGGTGATCATGAAGAAAAATTTTATTTTCGAATTTAAGAGACATGTTGATATTTAATTGGCGAAACACATCACTTGTACACACATAACATGTTTTTATTGATCTTGAATTGGGATATATCATTTTGCCATATACCATGATCCTATTCACCACTTTTGGATTGATGTGCCATATCATTTTACATGTAACATCAGATCAAACCCCTAAACTGTCTCTCTACATATATATAAACACACCCATTTTGACCACAACTCTTCATTCACATTAAAATTAGAAATGGCTGAAGAAATGATCATGAACAACAAACAAATCATTCTAAAACATTATGTGGAAGGTTATCCTAAGGAATCTGATATGGAATTTAAGAATAACAACATTAAATTGAATGTTCCAGAAGGTTCTAATGTTGTTGTTTTGAAGAATCTTTACTTGTCTTGTGACCCATACATGCGTAATCGCATGAGCAAACTTGAGGGTAGCTATATTCAATCCTTCACTCCTGGTTATGTAAGTATTTCAAAAAAAAATAATAATTCAATTTACTATCACACATATGACTATTTAGTTGATATATACTTTTGTTTGACATTCAAATTTCGAGAGTCAGAAAATATATTTAGTGTATTTTTATAACTGTGTAATTGAATTATCTTATTTTAAGTGATTTTCGGTTTTTCATCTTTTTAATTTTTTTTTTAAGGTGTTTGACAAAAAATTTAAGCACTTTTTTAAGCTAAAAAAATGAGTATGCTCAACTCATGACTTTTAAGTTTTTGCTAATAAGCTACTTAAAAAAAAGTCAAACTCGTGAATCCGGAGAGGATGGTGAGTATTGATTTTATTTTTATCTTATAAAGATAGAGAGATTATTTTCAAAAAAAAATTATCAAAATCAAGTTCAAATTTTGAGAATCAAACTTGTTAATTTTGATTTGGATTTTAAATTTTTTTTAATAAAATTTATATATTTAATAACTATGTAAAAAATCACTATTAGTCGGTCAAATCATTCTTAATGGTTATGGTTTTCAAATAAATTTAGTATGGTGAAAAATTGGTTTTTCTTTCTCCTAACAAAACAAAAACAAATAAGCTTTTATATTCTTTTCACATAAAATTCTCTCCTTTAACTATACTTTGATTGTTACTGTGTAGACCTTGAATGTTTCAAAATTCAATATTATTTGTGTTTAGTATACTTTTCAAAAAAATAAGTGAATTTCTTATTTATTTTTTATTTGTAGCCTATCACAGGATATGGAGTGTCTAAAGTTGTGGAGTCTAGTGATTCAAACTACCAAAAAGGTGACATAATTTGGGGAATGAGTGGATGGGAGGAATATAGTGTTGTAACAACTACTGAGACAACTCTCTTTAAAATTGATCATGACAAGGATGTGCCTCTTTCCTATTATACAGGAATTCTTGGTGAGTTTTTCACTTCTCAATATACATCCTTTCCCTCTCCAAATATAAATATTTAATCGTTAGAAATACATTTAAATTATCTCCTTCGTTTCAAATTAAGTGATGTAATTTGACTTGAAGTTTAAGAAAAAAAATAAAATTGAATCTATTAAAGGTATCTTGATTTTAAATATGCCTTCTGGTAAATTGAAATTAAAAAGTTATTTAAAAAAGAGTCATTTTTTTTAAATGAACTAAAAAAATTAGAAAAAATAAACTGAAATAGAGCAAGTATCAAATTTTTTTGCTGATTTTATATCTTTACTATACATTGTTCAGTTTACTTGTTTAAACTATCACTCTTTTTATATATTAAAAATGCATATTGATGTTGAGTTGGCCTACAAGTGCATGTAGTGGAGTGTGATTAATATTTGACTAACTTGTCATTAGGATGTGTTTTAATACAAAGAGAGTGATAGTTTAGGTAGGTAAATGGACCAATAGATAGTTGAGTTATAAATTTCTCGCCAAAACAAAAATAGTTTGCCTCTGTTTTTAATCGTTAACTCGAAAATAAATAATTTTTTTTGTTTCCTACTTACACGAGTTCATATCTTTGCTTTTCAATCAATTTCAAATTCAAATAAAATAAAAAGTTAATGGTATAAAACAGATCTAAACCATCGTATTTTTATGAGTTTCATACCTTAACTATATATTCATTATTTAATTTAACCTACCTAAACAATCACCTTCTCGTAAGTTTCATACCTCAATCACCGCTCTCTTCGTATCAAAACATGTCTTTGAAGTTTGATGTTGAGTTATCCTACACATGCTTGTTATTGATCGAGAACAATATTTGACCAACTCAGCATTAACATGAGTTTTACAAAGCAAGTGATAGCATAGGTGGTAAAGAATACAATAAATATTTATTTTACTCAAATTATTTTGTAGGGATGCCTGGGATTACAGCTTATGTTGGTTTTTATGAGGTTTGTTGTCCTAAGAAGGGTGAAAGTGTGTTTGTTTCATCTGCTTCTGGAGCAGTTGGTCAACTTGTTGGACAATTTGCAAAGATGTTAGGTTGTTATGTTGTTGGTAGTGCTGGAAATAAACAAAAGGTAAGTACTAAAACATTTCATTCTTGAAATTTGTTAGTGGGTTACAAGTTATCTTATTTATCTTAATCATTGTTAAATAATCTATCTATCTCATTTATTCATTATTATTATTATTAAAAGGTTGATATGTTGAAGAGCAAGTTTGGTTTTGATGAAGCTTTTAACTATAAAGAGGAGCATGATTTAGATGCAACTTTGAAAAGGTGAGAGTAATCTTATAAATTCCCACAAGAAAACACTAAGTAATTCTCACTTTAATGGTGTGGGGTTAGGCCTGACCCCTTATAAATTAGGCATAATACATATATTTAATTTTAAATTTAGCTTCAAATTTTAATTTTGACCTCTAATTACTTTCATAATGCACAAACAGACACTTTAACTATCCAACTTTTAAATAGATACATACATGAGTCCTACATGGCACAATACAGTAAGTCATCACGTAGGACAAAAGATGACATGTAGGTCATATGTGTCTATTTATTCAATTTTATACAAATTTAAGTGTCTACTTGTGCACATTCAAAATTGAAAGACATAAATATTGATTTGAAGCCAAGTTAAAAGGTATATTTATGTATTATGCCTATAAAATCCCACAAGAAAACACGAAGTAATGGTCACTTTAATGGCGTGGGGTTAGGCTTGATCCCTACCATGTTGATAACATCCAAAAAGTTACTAAAGTAAAAAGGACATGAACCTAACTTTTGATTGAAAACAACTAGGATAAACTATTACCGTTTGTAAAAAGACTAAAATGACATAGACATTCATACTATATGCAAAATACATTGATTCAACTAATAAAAAAAATTACATTTATCGTATCTTCTCCTTATACTGAAATTGTCATTTATATAGTAGAAATAGTCTCTTCACCTCAGAAGAATTGTGTGTGGTGGATTGACATTTTATTTTGGTTAAAGTGAATGAGATTAATGATTAATGAAGATATGAACCACTTTTGTAACATTAAAGACATATATGAAAAGATAGTTACTATAACGACAAAGATATATATGAACTGATAATATAACAGAAAAGCAATATGACCTTTTTCTCGTATTGATTTAATCTATTAGGTACTTTCCTGATGGAATTGACATATACTTTGAGAATGTTGGAGGTAAGATGCTTGATGCAGTTCTTATGAATATGAAACTTCATGGTCGTATTGCTGTGTGTGGGATGATTTCACAATACAACCTTGACAAGACTGAAGGAGTGCACAACTTGTTTTGCCTCATCGCGAAACGAATTCGTATGGAAGGATTTCTTGTTTTTGATTACTATCATCTTTATCCTAAATATTTGGAAATGATCATTCCACAAATAAAGGCTGGTAATATTGTGTATGTGGAAGACATAGCTGAAGGTTTTGAAAGTGCTCCTGGTGCTCTAGTTGGTCTCTTCTCAGGTCTCAATGTTGGAAAGCAAGTTGTGATGATTTCA